TTTGTATGGAATTAGAGCGTGGTTGCTGTCAGATGTTTCCCATTTTCGACACCAACCTTATTGATTCCTTATTCTCAAGCTCTCAAGCGTATTTCAGACCTCAATGTATTTTCAAAATCGCTTCTTAATGCTTGGTTAAGTAATTTAGAGATATTCAATAAATTTCTTAAAAATGCTTATTCCATTTCAGACGATGAAGTTTTTTGTGGCGCTTTACTCATCTTCGACGCGTGTTTGGAATTTAAATCTCATGTTGTTACTAATAATAAAATCATGAAATCTATATTTAGCGCAAAATTAATTTGCAAATTTTTTCCTACATATATTTTATTATTGTATGTATATTAAAATAAAATTACTCATCTTCCTTGCTGCAAACCGGAGAAAGAAATTGATGACAATCAATGTTTTACAACAAAAAAGCGTTTGTTTTAATAAAGTGTTAATAAATATAGGCGATGCTGTTTACTAGTACGGGTATCCAAATTCTTCACACCTCCGGCAGTGTTTCGATGATAATAACATTGATTTAAAAAATACGTTTGTAAAAAAAGCTTAAAATCCTAAACCGGGAAAGACGGCCGTCTTGTGGAATACTGCGAAAACCGCAACGTCGGGATGATCCTTTTTGAAGTGTGTTGTTGAACTCGGCCAAAATTACGTTTACAGCGCCAAATAAGCAGACGAAGAAGAAATTAATATTTAATAATGCACTGCATTATTAATTTGGCAGTGAAAAATGGCAACGACACGATGTGTAAAAATTAAGAAAAATGGCAATCTTACGACTTCCGCCTGGAAAAAGTTGGAAAATCAGACAAATGAAATGATGTTTCACACAAGAAATACCTGCACAAATTTTATACTCGGAAGGCATATTTTCTTACGCTGATGCGGTGTGCTACATCTTTCTACTGTAAAGTTTTTTTTCAGTCTCTTGAGCACTCAAATTATAAACAACGAGGCATACTCCTCGTAAAATTTGCTGTCCCCTGTTAACGGTATTAAAAAGTTTATCAAATGGAACAAGTTTTTCAATTTGCCAATTCTGCGCATGGAATGCTCCCATTTTATAAATGTCAATATGTATAATAAAGAACTGGATGAGGCGTAGATTTCCGTGATTAATAATTTTCCATGAATATTTATTTCTTTCTTTTTTTTTTGCATAAAAATTCGCTGTCTATTTATCAAATAACAATAAACCAGAAACTTTTCAGACGTTTGCTCATAAAAGTGTTAAAAACAAAGCTAATTAATTAGAGCCTGGACGGCGCTACAACTTGAAATGTTGTGCATGGAATGAATTACATATTAACATACATATGTATGTATACACATATTGACTATAGATAACAAAAAAATTTTCCAATCATAATCATAATTCCCGTTTTAGAAGGTGTGAACTAAGAGAGATTAATTTGTAAATAAACGGAGAGTATCAAATATGTATATCTAACTTCCACGCCTTTATTTTTCATTTTACTATTAAAAGCACTTGAGCACTTGAGAGATTTGAGAAACAATCGTGAATTGACGACACTTGTTGAGTATATAAGGAAGCGGTGAATACTGGAGTGAAAACAAATAGAAAGTGACCAACCTTGGAAGAAGAACACTTAAGAGATAGAAATCAAAATTAATACAAGTGAATTTAGCAATTTCAAATATTGAAACAAAAGTAACTTAAGGAATAAAATGAGTTGTATGGTAAGTTATTAAAAAAAAATATTAAAATTAAAAAGCTAAGTAACTTTAAAATTCCTTGTGTTTATACAAATAGTTATTAAGATTTAATCAACATAAAAATATTTTAAACTTTTCCAGCGCCCAACAACCATCATCTGCCTTTTCTCCACTCTAATTTGTCTACAAATCGCCTGCAGCGAAGCGCGATCGATTTATGATATAACGGATGTGGATAATCATAATTACAACGAAAGCTTAGATAACCAATTACCAGCTGGTTATTATTATATAAGCAATGGCCGCATCATTCCAGCAGGCAATGGCATTCGGCGAGTAGAAGGTGTATACTCTGGTGGCAGTTCGGTATATTTTCAGCCGATTGTGCGCGTTAAACATCAAAAGACAAAGAAAAAGTTATTTGTACCAAATTTCTTCGGTTAAGTTAATGGGGAGAAATAGAAATGACAGATGGTGTAAATACAGATTGATCTCCTCTTTTAGATTAATTAGTTATATAGATTAGTTCACACACATATAAATACTCATCAATATTTTTTACTAATATACTATAGTACTAAAAACAATAATTGTAAATATTTATGTTTAATCCAAACCTTTTTAATAAAAGGAAGAAAAAATTTAAACAAAAATTAATTCAATCATAGGAGAAAAAGGAATGGCTGCGAGTCGTGATACACACAAGAAATATCTTTTTTTTTTTAAGAAACACTTTACTAAAGAAAGTTAGAGAGCATTTACATTTTACGTTTAAATTGATTTTGACATGTGTCAATTTTGGTTGAATGACGAAAATCGATTAGGAAACCGATCCGTGTAAAGTCAGGTTAACACTTTTGTCAAACGATTTATCTCTCTAACTCTGCTTATTGTTCTATCGTCTCCGCTACTCACCAGATGATGTCATCGTCCACACTTCTGCGCCAATCAGAAAGGAAGGGCATGTTAAGAGACTTATGGTTAAGGACGCACCAGTAGTTGGACGCTATTGTATTAAAGTATACCTATGCGGTTAAGTTTTGCAGCCCTTACTATCTTGTCCAAGATCAGATTAAGGAGATCACACGACAGGGAGTCAACCTGGCTCAAAGAAGTTCTTTCCATCTCTAACGGAGCTGATAGTGTTGCTTAACGTTCTTTTATACAACTGCGTTAGTTTGAAATACATTTTTATACTAGCAAAGGCAACTCCTTTTCGTGCCTGGTCTATTTGGATATGCAATATGTTCGGTAGGACCTCATAGCCGACACTTAGAAGGCTGACCCGCGGTAGTTGGTGCAAATAGCCTACCTTTTGCATTGGACAGAGAACACTTAACATACAATCGTCAGGTATTTATGCGTTTATTCGATCACATTATGTCTATCAACTTATCAACTCCTCGCCGCCGTACTGGGCTAGCTCAGATAGCAGACCGATATATTTTCAGCCCCTGAATGAAAATGTGTAGCTCGTCAATAGTTCGGCGAAGGAATGTCGATTCTGTTGTCATCGACTGGAGACTCGGTTTTATCACCTCCACTGGTTTCAGTGCTGTTAACATTCAACAGGGTGGGAAAGAATTTACTCCATAATCTAACAATGGCCGCCAGACCGCCACGAACAGGTGATTGCAGCTTTTCGACGTTGAGTTTTAGAGCTTAAACAGACGGCAGCGTTGATCCGGATCAACTCGGGAATTAACTGCAGTTGATGCCCATTTTTTGCTACACAGAGGCATGCGCATATCGTGACTTCAGGAACATGGTCTCTCAAGTCGAAAGTTTGTATGTGTTGCATACTGGAAGCAAGCCACGTAGTTCGATGGTACTTTTTATGCTGCTAGTACTGTAGATTACCATGTTTCGGGCACCGGAGGTTTCGTCGAGGGGGCTGCATTTTACGACGAATCGAAACCGTAAAGCACGGTGGCAGCGCGGACATAATGACCGAAATGTTGAAGCATCTTGCTTTAATGACAGTTGTTTCATAAAAATATGACCCCGAATTTTCGCGACTTTATATGAGAGCATTAGGAGACGTTGCAAAGCCGCACATATTTCTTGGCTTGCACCGTCAATCGCATTCTTGAGGATATCAATTAGTCGCGCAGTAGCACTTTACCAATTAAGGGCACGGAATATTCCAGTTGTATGCCTTAAAATCATAGTCCTTTAAACGTTCGCTGTGGTCATCAGCGAAAGAAAGGTGTCTCAGCCTGGCTGAGTTCTTCTTCTCATTGGCTTTGTTTTTCTAAGCCCAGCTCACCATGCATTACTGTGAGGGTTTCCCATTTCAAAAATAGCTTTGTATGGAATTAGAGCGTGGTTGCTGTCAGATGTTTCCCATTTTCAACACGGACCTTATTGATTCCTTATTCTCAAGCTCTCAAGCGTATTTCAGAACTCCTTCTCAATGTATTTTCAAAATCGCTTCTAAATACATAGTTATTCCATTTCAGACGATAAAGTTTTTTTGTGATGCTTTACTCATCTTAGATGCGTGTTTGGAATTTAAATCTCATATTATTACTAATAATAAAGTCATGAAATCTATATTTAGCGCAAAATTAAATTGCAAATTTTTTCCTACATATATTTTATTATTGTATGTATATTGAAATAAAATTACTCATCTTCGTTGATGCAAAACGGAGATAGAAATTGATGACGATCTATGTTTTACAACAAAAAAGCCATCGTTTTAATAAAGTGTCAATAAATATTGGCGATGTCGTTTACTAGTACCGGTATCCAA